AGTCTCATACTACCATGAAAAGAGAGGACTGTCTGTACTTAGCTTTTTTGCTCCTGAAAATTCTTAAGAGGAAGAGCTTTGCTGGAAATTTACACCAGTTTACCTGAAGGTGTGCATTCCTCAGTGTGAGAAGCTCCGGACTGGGTAGAGAGATGAATGTTCCTGTTCATAGTCCCCGAAAGACATAGGAAGAGTCCTGCCTGCCTTTCATACAAAAACACTCAAATGGGCCTTGAAATCCGTATTCCATATGTAAATACCATAAAATGAGTTCTTGTTTCTACTGAGTTTTGGGACTAGCATTTTGTAGAACTAGTATGTGAGGTTCAGCTAATGAAGTGTAACTCAACTTTTGTCCCTTGTGGAAAATATTTTTTTAAAGGCTTAAAAATAAAAGTTGAAATGGATGATGTCTTCTTACTGTCTTAATTGATTGAAACTAGTATGTGAAATGCGGCCCAGCGTTCAAAAAATCAGTTATGCTTCATGTTAACTTCTTAAAATATTAATAATTACTAATGATAAAGCTAATATTTATGAAGCACTGTGTGCCAGCAAAATTCTAAGCAGTTTAAATACTTGTAAATATAGAATACTCTCCTTTTGACTGTACTTATATATTGCATAAATTAAGCTAAATGGTACTATATTCTGAGAAAAACTTTGTCATTTGATTTATTTAATGATTGTACTTTTAATCAGGTGTCAGTAAGTAATTTGACTCACAGATGTTTTGTTAATATCATGATACAATGTTTTCTTGAGATTTAAGTCAGAAAATTTGAAGCTTGTCAGGATCTCTGAATTCTTAATGTTGATGTTGAGTTAGTCATTCACAGATCAGTAAAAAAAAAAAAAAAAGCTTGAAAATAGAAAAGATATAAGAATAAAAAAGGCCTCATTCTCTTCTATATAAACTATAGTTGGACATGGATCTAAAGACATTTGTGAAGGAGAACAGTGAGGCTCCTACACAGGTGTAGTGCTCAGATCTTCCAGGTTTTCCAAATTTGACTTAATTTCATGGGTTTTCTTTCACCAAACATAATTTTTTATATGTATAACTAAATGAGATATAATTTCTATTTTTAGTAAGGCATACCTTACCAAAAAAAAAGTTGTAGAGTTGAAGATCATCCAACTCATTTCTTATCATCAGAATATGTATTCTTTATAACCATCCTGGATATGGTATTTCCTCATCTTGTTTGAATTTCCTCATCATGTTTGAATCAGAACCTATATTGTGCTTTTTTTGTTTTGTTTTGCCTATCTTTGTTTAGTTTTATGCCCTGCTTACTTCTTTAAAAACTATTTGAGATGCCTTATATCTTAATTTATTATTCACTTCTTGCTTCTTATGAATCTGTGTAGTTTACTCAACTATATACATCAGCAGTTTTTATGTAAATGTTTGGGGTAGGTCTGTCATTTTCTTAGTAAATGCTCCACTGGATAGTATTTTCACTATGAACAGTACATGGAACAGATAGATTATAAAACATATTTGAGAAACAGAATGTGCTCCCAGACCCACTTGTGTCCCAGTTGTCATTCTTCCTGTCATTAGTTCTCTAGTGCCAGCCCTGCTAGCCACTGCTTATTTGCGAGGCAGAATAAGTTACCTTATTAATGTGTAGGATTCTTGACACATTACCAGTTCATATGGTCACTTGTGCCTGTTTTTAAATATTTTTTTACTTTGAGCCTCATTTTCTAAAAGATGGTTTTTTTCTACCATTTTCCATTAAACAGGCTTTTAAGAGGCCGTATCCCCAGGCCTAGAATAGTGATGGCTTGTGTTCAAGCCAGAGAATAGCAAAGCCCACATGTGTGCATGCTCTTCATAGGTGGCATGTTTCCCAGGATTGTGCTAAACCTCAGCTGCTTTTTATATTAAAATATCATTTCTGTTCATTAGAGTATTTTCAGATGAAAACGGATATGTAACTCTTTTTTAATATATAAATTTATTTATTTGTTTATTTTTGGCTGCGTTGGTCTTCGTTGCTATGCGTGGGCTTTCTCTAGTTGTGGTGAGCAGGAGATACTCTTCGTTGCAGTGCACAGGCTTCTCATTGTGGTGGCTTCTCTCGTTGCGGAGCACCGGCTCTAGAGCGCAGGCTCAATAGTTGTGGCGCACGGGCTTAGTTGCTCTGTGGCATGTGGGACCTTCCCAGACCAGGGCTCGAACCCGTGTCCCCTGCATTGGCAGGCGGATTCTTAACCACTGCGCCACCAGGGAAGTCCCCAGATATGTAACTCTTGACCTAGTTCTACTGAATGTACATTTATGCTACTGTGAAATAGAACTTTTCTGATTATAGTTATTTCTCTTGCATCTATATGTGTGCTTTATTGTATCGTTTGTTACTCAAAACTTGTTACCTCTCTTTCACCGTTTTCTTTACTATTGTTTATTAACTATGACACAAATGTATTAGAAACTGGTTAGCTCTCCATTGTAGTAGCTAAGGGCACGCAATTTGGAGCCAGAAAGTCTTTGGTTTGAATATTGACTTCACCAACTGTTCACTGTGTAACCATGAAAAATGTTGTAGGGACTTCCCTGGTGGCGCACTGGTTAAGAATCCGCCTGCCAATGCAGGGGACACGGGTTCGAGCCCTGGTCCGGGAGGATCCCACGTGTGCGCCACAACTACTGGAGTACGTGCTCCACAACAAGAGAAGCCACCGCAGTGAGAAGCCCATGCACCGCAGTGAAGAGTAGCCCCTGCTCACCTCAACTAGAGAAAGCCCGCGTGCAGCAATGAAGACCCAACGCCACCAAAAAAAAAAAAAAGAGAAAATAACCTAGCTGCACTAGTTTACTTATCTCTAAAATGAAGAAAAGGATTGTACCTACATTAAGTGAGATAATATATGTACTGTGCTTTGCACAGAGCCTAGTACCTAGAAGCACTTAATAATTGTAGACAGCATGATTATTTTTACCTACATTTACTGAGTTCCTACTATGTGCCGGGTATTGTCCTGGGGATTGGGGATACAAAGATGAAGAAGACACAGTCCTTGTCCTCAGGGATCTCATAGTCTAGTAGTATGGACCAACTTAGATACGGAAAAATTAAAATACCAACATGATAGAAGAACTATTAACCTTGACTACTTTTTGAGTGTCAAAGGACATTTTCTTTCCAGTTGATATCCTCATATCATATATATAGATTCTTTTATAATAAAAGTTCATGACAGTTACAATATAGGGTAGTAGATGCTATATTTCAGATATGTGTACAGTGCTATAAGAACAGGGAAGCAGAAGGGGGAAACTATCTTATCAGGAAGGCCTGCATCTTTGCCTTTTTATCTTCATCAGATTTTCCCCAAAGTTTGCTAAGATACACATCTTTGCAGGAAACCTGCCCAAAATAATGTGTTGATCATGTGGTATACTGGCTAAAGACTCCATGAAATGGTAGCTGTCCTTTTTTATATATAGCTCTCTCTGACGCAGCCTTCTTGGCCTTCCAAGGTTTTGCATTTTGCAAAACTTCTTTGTTCTTGAGTGACATTGAGTAGGTTGAGGGTAGAATGACTTTCAAATGTCATAATGGGAGACTACTACCCTTTGATATGAAAATAAGAGTTGCCTGGTTCATTTCTGTTAATAACTACACAAGACCATCAGGCAACCCAAGGGGTGACTGAAGTCTAGACTGAGATGGGCCCTAGAGCTTCAAGAACTAGAGGAAAGACTTTGGAACTTCCCTGGGGGTTTGGTCAGCCTCTCCTTCTTCAACCCTACACAATTAGAAACTCTGAAAAGGCTGGAAGCAATCTCCATAATCCAGGTTCCTGTAGTTCCATAGCCTATCCACTGTCTAATTTAGGGTTTGAAATCCCTGTTTTGTTTTCAAGCTGATTGTCAACTTAGACCTAACTTTGGATTTCTCATATTTTGTTACTTGCTTTTTAAGTGAATTTATCAACATTTAAGTTTATAACTCTGTACTATTGCTTTAGCCCATTTAAGGAGGAACGTTTTCCCAAAAATCAGAAATGTTCTCTAATACCAAATGTCCAGTTTTCTTACTGTGGAATCAAACTAAAGCAAAATTATATATAATTTCTTTTCTTACCTGTTTTCTTAGCTTTCAAAGTAATGTGTGTTTAAAATGAAAACTGAATAGGCTTATAGCCATAATTTAGTTGTGCTGAATTATTTGGCCATAACTTTGGTGGTGATGGAGACCAGATTTATATGCTGTGGGATCTGTTCTGTTTGGATCTGACAGCTGGCTTCATTAAATATCTTGGAGCTTTTTACTTTGCATGGGGATGGTTGGGAGGGTGGGAGCAGCAGTGGAAGAAAGCAGTCCAATTTATTTAACGTTCTCCATTTGTTTACTGGCTCCAGTCATAAGATTGTGCAGCTGTTTGAACAGCTGCCTTTTGATTTCCTTTTGTTTACTGTTTAGGTTTATTAAGCTTGTATTTAATACCTGCTTATTGTCTGCGTTAGCTTTCCTTTATTAAATATATTTTAATATATACCAGTCTCCTTGGGTCTAGGCATGCTTTGATGAATTAACAAGTTAATTCACTAGAAAAAAAATTTTTAATTCCATAAGTCATACAGAAAGTAGCCTATTCTTGATTTCTTGTTGTCCCTTAGCTTTATTATTTTAGTTAAATATTTTATATTTTGGTAAATGAACTACATTTTGAAATTAAGTCAGAATTTCAATCATGTTAAATCACCATTTATGTTCACTTTCTAAGTCTGCCAACAGGTAGCTTAGTCTACATACTCCAGAATAGTTTTTAAAAAGTTGTCAGACTAATTGTAAAGTATGTGAATCTTGTTTTAACTACTTTCTCTGAGCAAACTGGATACCCAGGAGGTATACACAGACACACAGAGCAAAAAGATAAATCTTATATTTATTTGTCAGTCTTATTATTTAGCCTATTCAGGCATACTTACTTACTAAAAATTTATTCAACATTGTGGAAATTTTATTCTTTCTTTACAGGTGAGGGACTTGTCCATTGCTTATATGCTGGTGACATTAACTTATTTCTATATTGGAGTCCTGGTTTTTGTTTCATTTCCTTCACCACCATTATCCAAAGATTGTATAGAGCAGGTAAGGCACTGTGTACCCTCTCTATGTGATTGTTTACACCTTCATATCTGCAGAGCAAGCAGTGTGATACAGTAGCAAAATATAATACCAGACAGGCCTGAGTTTGAATACAATCTCTACTATTTACCGTGCATGTGGGAATTTAAGCACCTTACCCCTCCCTTGTGAGCTTCGGTTTCCTCTTCCATTAAATATTATAATAGATACTCCATAGATATTTAGATGGACTCTCTGAGAAGTCCTACTGCATGCTGGCACCTTGTAGTACTCAAATAAATGATTCCTATTATATGCATAGTATTTTTGGGTGTGTGGAGAACTGTACTAGTAGTAGTCTTGAATTTATAAACCCTCCACAGAGACTATATTCAATTCCCTTATTTTCCAAAGTCCAGATCTGGAAATGTCTTGAATAAACTGGTGTCTTAGTTCATCAGTCCATAATAATAGGTCTGACACCCATTTTGGTACTATGTGTCAAGTATCAAAGCAAAGAAAGACTATTTGACTGTTAAAAAGACAGAGGGAGAGACAGAAAGAATAAAAGAAACATTCTTTTACTAAAAGGTTGCCATAAATAATATTTTCTTTGCTTTGGCCTGTCATAAACCTGGGAATAGTATAATCTCTAGTTTTATGTAACTGAAGAATTTCTCACAAGAAATAGCATGCACAGGTGATTTTCTTTCTAGGCAGAAGAAATTCCTCTAATAGAGTGTAGTGGAGTATATAGTATGATTTATTACAGATGAATTATAAAGGTTATTTCAGCATAATAGTGGTAATAATGTTCTCATCTTTATAAGATAAATAGGTTTGGGTTATTGCTGTTGTGATAGCTTGAAATGTTCTCTTGATTTCCTTGATTCCACAAGTTCTTTGGCAGCCAAATGTTTGCTGAAAATTCCCCTGATGTGAACAATCCCATATAAAGCCCACTCCCTTGGGAATAAGAATATCTGTGGTATTTGTATTTGCAAGGAAAAAAAAATCTGAGTGATTAGCTTTTTTTTTCTTAGATGCCTAACGAAAATGGAGAAAAGAATCATGAAAGGAAGGAGAAATAAATTCTTTTCTCTTTATTGATAGACTGTACATAATAATGATAGTAGGTGATAGATACACTCTCCCCTTATTCTATAATCTTACTTTGAAAGTGTAACAGTGTTTCAGAGGAGGAAAAGCAAGAGAACTATTAAGGATGAAGTAGCATTGAATTAGCTATTTAAATTTATTCAAACAAATTTATGCTTGAACCTTATAGAGCAGTACTTCTCAGACTGTCAGTGGTGGACAAGGTCTTCTTTGTTGTTGTTGTTTCAATATCAAATCATTTGCAGACTGATACTTTCGTAAAATGCCACATTTTAATTCTAATGTCAAATGTCTTTAAGTTTCCAAACACTTACTTTCAATTTCTGTACTTAGCTCATTGAAGAATCATAGTTAACAAACAGTTTGTGGATGGACGCCCGTCCACAAACCACAATTTGAGTGGCACCCATGTTCAAACAAAGCGAAAAAATTCCATTTTATATATTTGTATATACTGAATTTGATTTGTAACATTATTATCTTTCTTGGATTAGAATTTTTTAGACAACTTCCCTAGCAGTGACATCCTGTCCTTCATTGCAAGGATATTCCTGCTGTTCCAGATGATGACTGTATATCCACTCCTAGGCTACTTGGCTCGTGTCCAGCTGTTGGGCCATATCTTCGGTGACGTTTATCCTAGGTAAGGGCTCTTCTCTTGACCAGCAAGATGTGCCAAGCAACAAATGACTGTGCAAACAGGTCAGTTTAAAATGTGACTGATCCTTTTGCTATAAAAATTTGCCTAATGAACAATGAAAAACTTGCCTAACACCAAGGATAGATCATTTGTGTTCTTGTCCCAGAAGAGCTTTAAAAATAGAAGCCTCTCCCTTGTCCAGAATGATTTAAAGTTAATTCCTTCCAGTGAATTTATGTTAGCTCTGATACCAGTTACATTTATCTTATGATTTAGTCACTATTAATCTACTCTTTGCCAAGAAGTTAATAGTATGTAGGGACCTGTATGGCTAATAAGAAGCAACTCTTTTAATTATTGGTTATTGATATTTACTTGTATATTTAACATTCATGCATTTTTACATAAATGATCATTGTTTAGGATTGAAGGTGAGATACATAACAAGTTTAAATTCTTATTTGCTTCTGTAACTATTGCTGTAATTTTTAATCTCTTATTGGTAATGGAGGAGTTGTGAGTCCTTTTGAAAATCTGTTCAAAGCTAGTCACCCTCATCCAAGAGAAGTTTCCATATACTGCTTCAGGTTTCCCTGAAACTTCCTTGTGGACCCCTGGTTAACTCCTACTCTTAATTAAGTTTTATTATAGATTCATTCTAGTAAAAAGTACCTAGTCCTGACCTATTTTATTGGGAATAAATGATCTTAAATGAAGAAAACTTTTGGATAAAATTTGAAAAAAATTACATTTACGGTAACCAGCTAAACAAGTGGTCTTAACCAGTTTATTTGAAGTGAACTAATGCAGTCTTTCCCCTCATTTAATAAATAATTAGTTATAAATGTGTAGGTTTAAAAACAAAAAAGCTTTTAAAAGCAGAAATCGAGAGTTACCAGGCTTCTAGCATTGACAATAGCAGCAGCTACAGTTCTCCTGTTGGATTTCAGTAAATATTATTCCTATTGTGTTTATACACCCTGCTAGATTTACATTCACCAAAATAAAATAAATACGGAGAAGTAATAGATGAAAAAAATTCTAGGTAAATGCCTTATTCCTGTTTTCTGCCATTATTTTGCATAATGTTGGCTGTTAGAATGTTTTTTCTTCTTGTAAAAAGTCTGGAATTCCCTTTTGTGTTCACATTACATTTCTTCCCCTGCCACCAAGAAGACATTATCATTTATCCTACAGTTACAAGTACTCTACAGACTGCATACTTTGGAGCATACTTTTTGATTTCAGGACCCCTTTACACTTTTAAGGTTTATTTGAGGACCCCCAGGAACTTTAGCTTATGTGGGTTATATCCATCAATATTTAACATATGAAAAATTAGAACAGAATTTTTTAAATGTTTATTAATTTACTTAAAAAGCAATAATAAAACCATTACTTGTTAACATAAATAACATTTTTGAAAAATAACGATTTCCAAAAAAAACTTTCCTTTTACCTTTCAAAACTGATTAATGACATTAAAACTGATTTAATGGGGGCTTCCCTGGTGGCGCAGTGGTTGAGAGTCCTCCTGCCGATGCAGGGGACACGGGTTCGTGCCCTGGTCCGGGAAGATCCCACATGCCGCGGAGCAGCTGGGCCCGTGAGCCATGGCCGCTGAGCCTGCGCATCCGGAGCCTGTGCTCCACAACAGGAGAGGCCACAACGGTGAGAGGCCCATGTACCGCAAAAAAAAAAAAAAAGAAAAACTGATTTAATGTCTGATTTGCTAGTAGATCATTGGATTCTCCTAGCTTCTTCTGCATTCATTCTGTTGTAATGTGTAATTTTTGTTTAAATATATGAAGAAAATACACCCTCCCAGTTGGAACAAGGAGTACTTTTAATAGCCTTTTAAGATCATTGTGGATATTCTTCTTTGATACTATGCCAAACCTTGACAAGTGGTAGTTTTTTAAAAGTTAGTTGAATCTGAAACTCAGTTACATTAAAATCCATTGGTCTGTCTTACACTATGGATCTTTTACCCATGCATAATTTTATAACATCAGGGTTAATCCTTTGGAAAATATTGGTTCAGTGAGTTCTGTAGATCTTCCAAATGTTGACACACTTCATTATGCACATTTCAAAACCCACATTCATTAATATCAAAAGTCTTTAGATATTTATTGGAAAACTGTCGAGCTCTCATGGTGGCAAATACAAGCTCTCCAAAATTCTAGTTTTTGCTCGAAAGCTCAAATGTTATCATTGGCAACACAAACTACCAGTTGCTTTCCTTGAAATGATAAGATCATGTCTGTCAAATACCCAAGTCTGAAGAACCATAGTTTATCTGCCTTTCAAGTAAAAATAGCAGTCTTTGGATAAAACGGCAGGGTTGTCCCCCAGCTCAGTTGCACAAGTACTTTTCCTCAAGACAACCTTTTTACTTCAGTATGCAGCAGATGTGCTTTATTATATACTTGCTGTTTGATCATACAGAATATTAAAAAGATGTATGTTCAAAGTATGAGATTTAATAAAACATAATTTTTACTCCTTTATCAAGGACAATTTTTAATAAAACTTTTTTGGTTTTTTTGAGAGTGTTTGGCAGTGAAGAATACAGTATAGAATACAGACAAGTGAAGCTGCCTCTATCCATGCTAAGGGGGCAGCAGTTTACCCACCAATGCTTTTGCAAAGCAAGTAATGTTTTGTCTGATTGGAAAATAATTTTTACCTCAGGGCTTCCTGAAAGGGAATTGGGAACTTCCCTGGGGTTCGTGGTTACACTTTGAGAACCAATACTTTGGAAAATAAACAAAGTTGATTCGTTTTACAATATAGAAATAACAAAGGCCCAACCAATGTCTCTCTCAAAGCTCTGAAGCAATTTTAAGGTTGGAGTTTCTGGATAAATAGTAAGATCTGGAAGCCTGAATATCTTTGTAATTCATCAAAATGGATGACTAACCACTTATTTGTGTAAATACTTTTCCTTATTTTTAATTCTTTCTGTAATCTTTACCTAGGATTAATTAACCTCTGATAACTTGGGCTCAAAATGTTGCTTTGATGTGTAAATTTGGCTTTTAAGGATCATTTTTGGGGGAAATGGAGTTATTTCTTGAGCATCGTATTCCATCTACATTATGTTTATTTGTGTCCAGAATTGATTCCCAAACCTTGAATTGTTAACATCTAGTTCAAGTTATTTAGCAGATATTCTATTCATGGTAAATACTGAATAGCTTTAAATGACTAAATCTGAAAAATAAAAACCTGCCCATTTTGCCTTACCCCTTAATAAAATTTATTTTTCTAATTATAAAAGTAAACACTTTACAAAGAAATATTGTAAAACATACAAAATTTGTTAAATATAGAAACAAAGATTACCCCAAATACCAAATTATAACACAGTCACTACACCCTTTTTAGTGTATTTCCTTCTGATATTTTTTCAAGTGTTTTGAGATTTTCTTGTGTAGTAAAAATCTAACTAACTTTTCCTCAAGTTGCCTAGATGGATTTTTACCATCTAGGTAACAGTGATTACTTACTTTTAATGTTTTTTAATATATTCCATCAAGTAAATTGTTACCCTGCCATATATCTAGGATGCTTCTGTCTTTTCACAAATACCTATATGTTAATAGCTTTTTCAATTATTTTCTTATGATTTTCCACCCAAATGGAATTATGTATCAAAGAATGTGAACCTTGATACACACTACCAGTTTGCTCCTACAAAATTTAACCTATTTATATAATCGCAAAAAAAGGGCCAGTATCACTGTCCCATCACCAGTATTGAGTACTATTGTTGCCTTCTATTTATGCTGTAATTTTATTGTCAAGTTTAAGACATTCTCATTTTAAGGATGATAATAATGAATTTTATTCTCATATTAATTGTTATAATTTGCCTGTTTTTATATTTTTTCTTCCTCCAAACTCTCTTCTCAACTTGTAGCATTTTCCACGTGTTGATTCTTAATCTAGTTATTGTGGGAGCTGGCGTGCTCATGGCCTGTTTCTACCCAAACATAGGAGGAATCATAAGGTACTGCCTGTAAGGGAACTTTGCCCCTTCATATATTGGTCTTTATTTTTATGCTTTTCCTGTTGTTGTTGTTGTTGTAGTTGTTGTTTTGATACAATTGTATAAAATTCCTGTGAGTATTTAAAACTGGTAACATTCAAATGTAGTTCCCTGGTATCAGTTAAGGTGCTCATTATCTTCCATTTCTGCTTATTCCTGACTCTAGAAGCCCCATTATCCCTTAGCTTTATGTACCTTTCCCTTCTCTTTTTTTCTTTTTCTCATAATTTTCTACTGTATTCCTTTTTCTTTATCCAAAATAAAGTTGTTTTTAATATATAATATATAACTTCTTGGGGTACCTCAAATGTCCCTAATATGTCAAGGCTATGTCCTAACTTTCTTAATCCATTTCTACTCAAGATCATATTTCAGTGTCGATTGTAGTCATAAAGTAAGAGTTTAGATCCCAGATGGCTCTTTCCTTAATATCTTTTCTCCAAATACATTGTGATAGGTTGAGTAGATTGGGAATATATTTGTGACCTCAGATAATCATGGAAAACTGAAATTTCGAATGATCTGATTTCCTTGACCTGTAGAAAGCAGGACTCAGTCACTTTTTGGAAGACCCTTACCTAAGAAAGTAGCAATAAACAAAAGGGGAGACTTTTAGCCTGATGCTTATTGAATATAATGGATTTACAAGTTCCCATTAACCTGTTTTCAAGAAAACTAAGTATAGGGAAGGAGAGAAGAAAGTATAGGTTCCTCTGTCATGTGTTTAGGTATTTTTGTTACTATCTTTGATAATTATGCTGAATGCCAAGGAGGCACTCTCAGTCTTAAGCAGATGCTAGCAGTCCTTCAACAACTCAGAATTTATAATTAGTTTATAAAAGATCAAAGGTATGAAGCCTATCTCCAGATGTTTCTGAGGAAGTAGCCATAATCACTGAGATACAGAGGAACTAGGGAGATTTGAGAGATGAATAAAAAACTCTTTGTCAAGCAGATGCTGTAAAGATGAACAGGAAATAATATTTTATATTAACTTAGCAAGTAAAATAAGTTTTAAACTCAAATGCTTTATGTCAACAAATGAATCAAAAACAATTTTATTGTAATATCAGACTGAGGAGGATTTAAATTGTACTATATTTACCATAATTGTAAATCAGAAAAACACAGGATGAATATTAACCCAAAAGCTTTTATTTTGCAGATATTCAGGAGCAGCATGTGGCCTGGCCTTTGTATTCATATATCCGTCTCTCATCTATATAATTTCCCTCTACCAAGAAGAGCGTCTAACATGGCCTAAGTTAATCTCTCACATTTTCATCATTATTTTGGGCCTGGCTAACCTAATTGTTCAGTTTTTTATGTGAAATAGTCAACTGTCTTCTCCAGATCTTTCATGGTGTTTTGAACTCTGACAACAGTTCCACATAAACTCACTTGTAAATGCTGTTGTTGCTGTAATTATTAATGTTTTCCTAAGGTAATTTGAAACCAAGGGAAATAGTGGTCCATTAATAAGTAATTCGTGTTAGAATGGGGAAAAGGGCAGTAAGAGTGGTCTTAATCTCTTTACCATTTTCATATTCACTCATCTCTTCATTCTCACTGTCTTTTCTGAGTAGAATGTATGCCCCTAGGAAAAATCATGCTGGGTTTTGCTTTTAGAGATGTAGGGTGGGTGGGTTTATTCTGGCTACCATAATGATTCTCAGAGTGTCAGAGCAACTATGTTGCCAGATTCCATTTCTGTTTTATGTTTCAGTTATTCACTTTTATTTTATTACTTGCTATATCATTTCTGCAGTTTGCCCAAACCTTTACTGTTTTAGACAGTAAACCAAATACCTCATTTTAAAAAAGAAGTGTCCATGACATCAGTGTTAGTAGAGTGAATTCTTACGTGAGCCCTTAATCTCTGTTTTAAAAAAGAAAGAAGGAAAAAAAAAAAGCAATGCCAGAACAGGCCCTATGGTCATGAAACTTATGTAAAATAAAGGAACTAGGAGAGAATTTGTTGCTATCTGACTCCTCTTTTGTTTCTAATCCAGTTCCAGTTCCCCAAGTCACATTTTGCATAGGAACAAGAATTGTCCTCATAGACCCAGGGGGCTCTTTGGCTTTTTGGACCTCTGAGGATTGCATAGGATGTGATGACAGGACCAGTGGGGAAGAATATAGGAAGCATGGAAGAGAGGGATATATGAGGCGTTAAGGGAATAGAGAGGGGCCAGAAAGAGTGAGGCCTTCTTAAAAGTGTATTCTCTGCTGAGGGTGAAAGTGATTTCTTCAACACAGGAAAGGATTACTTCTGTTCAAAGTATGACCTCCAGAAGGAGACCCCCTCAACATACTTCTGTAACTGTCAGGGTAGAGGTTAAATCCCCAAAAGAAAAACTACTTGGATCTGAGAAAAGGATTAGGGAATCTGAATTCTTTGATTAACACTCTCCTCTTTTTCTTTCAAACTAAAAGCTAAACCAAAATCTAAATCCATGTCTTTCATGTAATATAGCCTCCATGTTCAGCTGGAAAAGTTAGATTTTTCTAATTTTATGGTAACATTAAACAGTGTATTGTGTTAATACACATCCCAAGATAATGTGTAGATTTGTGTGATTTTCCTTCCTTTGAGAAAGACAGGTGAAATGGTTTTTTAAACCTGGTAAAGAGCCCCAGATTCAAGACCAGCCACTCTTCTTTTTAGCAGAGCTTTCTATCTAGTCCATAGACCCATACCTATACTGATGAACTATATTGCCTAAAGCTCTTTTTCAAAAAGTCTCATTATGAAAATTCTCAAGCATACACAAAAGTAGAAAAAAATAATATGATAAATCCCCCCATCCCCATCCCCTACATTTAGTAATTATAAGACTTTGCCACATTGCTCACCCATCCCCCTTTTTTTCTTTTCCACTGAAACATTTTAAAGTCAATCTTCAAGTTATGTCATTTCATCTCTACAAACCTTAATATGCACTTGAACTTAGTTACGTTTATTGAGGGAGACAGTCTCTCTGAAGTTGTTTGTTGTTGTTGTTAGCAGAAACTGCTGGTAGAAATTTGGTAATTAGAAAATTCTGCGTTATGTGTCTGGATCCCGGTGTTAACCTCTCTTAGAACAGGAATATAAGGCGTGGAGAAAATGTGTCTCTGTGCCTTTATGACTTGAGGGTTTTGTTCAGTTAGAGACATAGGAATCAAAAGCCAGACCTTGAGAGATCTTCCAGGCTTAATTCTTGTTTATCTCTAGTTGCCTCCCTTGTCTTTAAAAACTTCAGAGACAAAGTTGCATTGCCTTTTTTCAGTGATATACTTGAATGTTTTAACACATAGAAAAGTGATTTGATATATTTTTGTGCATTTAATAATCAAAGTGAATATGAAAATGAATGCATTATTGATTAAACTGAAAAGCAAAGTGATATTTGCTTTTTTTTTTTTTTTTGCGTTACGCGGGCCTCTCACTGTTGTGGCCTCTCCCGTTGCGGAGCGCAGGCTCAGCGGCCATGGCTCACGGGCCTAGCCGCTCCGCGGCACGTGGGATCCTCCCGGACCGGGGCACGAGCCCGTGCCCCCTGCATTGGCAGGTGGACTCCCAACCACTGCACCACCAGGGAAGCCCGATATTTGCTTTTTGTTTTCTTTAAGAGACTTGCTGATTTAGAATTTCCAAAATCCTATGTTAGACTTATGCTGAATGACTTTGCCTCCTTAGGTTTTTCTTCACAAAACCAGCTCCTTTGGCCTATTAATTAGCTTGGTCGGAAAACTCTTTGTGTACGTGTGTCCTCGCTCACATATTAGAATGATGAGATGAGATCTCATTCTGATCATATTACAATTAGTTTTAGACTTTCTCTGCTGTCATCTCTTGGAATTTTCTAATTAAATTTCTTTCACTTTTTGTTCTGATGTGGTTAATCTTAGTTTCTTTGAATTTAGCTTATTTAACACATAACTGAGGACGTTATAAAATTTAAAATAGCTTGTTTAGAGAGCTCTTCCTTGGAAAGGCTCTGGATGAATATGTGGTATGCTAATACCGTGCCAGAAAGGACAAAGAAATATGCTTTGACATTTGACACCTATGGATGATCATCCAAAATCAGTTTCATCATCACACCCAAAAAATGTATTGGAATAAAGAATAAATTTACCCACCAAAAGGGGCTGTATTAGAGGGAAATATTCACTTCATTTACGCTAAATATATTTTGCAAATACAATACAGCCACTAAATGTAGAAGCAGAAGAGTTTTTGGTTTCTACTCGGAGTTCATTAGGAGAATTTTTTTATCTGTATTTTGACTTACTCATTTCCATAAATAATTGAATAACTACTATCAGGGAGGGGGAAATTTCCCCCCATCCCTCTTGAGTTCTTTTGGCTGGTCTAATAATTAAATTGACCCAAGACATATTAACGGGAGAAAGAAGTAAAACAAAACAATTTAATTTGCATGTGTAGAATTCTCAGAGAAATGGGACCCCCGAAGTGACCAAAGCAAGTTGTCCATATATCATTTTTAGACAAAGAAAGATTTATGAAGATTTAAGTTATGCTAGGGAGCAAACTGATGAAGAAGTAACAACATTTGTTTATAGTGTAGCTTTTTAAGCCTTGAGTTCCCTAACTCGGGTGATAAGGACGCTTTGTAGCCTCCTGGTATAGGGAGGATACCTTCACCTGGGAGATTTATTTCTTGATTTCATGGGGAAGGGGGAAGTCAGAGTGTTTTTTATATCTTTTGTTTCCACCAGCTGTTTCTCAAGTAACTTTAATTCAAAATAATCAGTATGCCACTGTGACATATCTTGGGGCAGCCTGTCCTGAGCCCCAGCACTGCCATGCTTGGTACTTTGGAGAAGGCAAATATGTATAAGACATCACTCATATCCTAAAGGAACTTGTGGTCTAGTAAACTACGCCTACAGGTAACTATAATGCAAGGCACTTTCAGACAAAGAGAAACAGATCCCTTCCAGTCGGGCTCCTCAGGGAGGGCAGGTAAACGAAGCTGAGTGGTAAAGCTGCAAGGACACATTTTCAGCCTTCTCCTAATAACTGTCCAAAATTTTAGGTGTTTGATACATTCGCCATCAAGTGGGATCTTCTAAAGTGTAATTGCTTTTACTTTGGCAAATTTTCTCTTAAGATAAGTTTTATAAGAAGTATTTAACTGCTTCTGTATACTGTTTATTGTTCTCTTTGCATTTTAACACTGCAAGATTCACTTCTGTGAATCTTGGACCGCAAAGTACAATTGGTCAATACGGGAAATAATCAGTAACACATTGGGCAATACAAACAGAAAGATTCTATAAGATTTTCTCTCCAAAAATTTGACTTATTTATCTGTATTCAAAACGTCAAATGTTTGGGCTCATTGATTAGAGCAGAAAATATTGATGCTGCTTGTTTTCTTTACAAAGCGCTGACCTGTTGCTTTTTAAAATCTGGTCATGGTGATGTGGTGGTGGTTTGTTTTCTCATCCCAATTCGAACGTCCAAAAGAAAATCCAAATCTAGCTGACACCTAAACAATAGAATGTTATATTAGTTTGTTGTCCAAAATGGAACGCGCACAAGGCAGCCTGGCTGGCCCCAGTTTCACAGTCGACTGCCGACTTCACTTCAGATTATGTAAACATGTATTGCAAAACAGCTCTGACGGGAACCTCATAACCTAAACACTGTTCTCTGAAATGTAATTTGTTGTCTTTTTATATAAAAGAAGAAATTAAATCAAAATTATTTTGAAGAAAAACGACTCTGGGATTTTGTTTAATTGAACTTTGCCAGGAAATGCCATTGCCTAGTAGCACTGACCCCAGGGTAGAAGGAGACAATCTTTTGCAGGGTCAGACTTCTCAAGTGACTCTGCATGTGTCACATGAGGTCACTCAAGTGACCGATGCATGTCTCACATGCCCTCCCTCATGTTCTAGATCCTAAAAAAAAAAAAAGGTATATGCTTTGTATGTTAACCAAAACCTAAAATGATCATCCCTTTTGGACAATAATACTGTGTGACTTCTCCCTCTAAGAGCATTTCAGAATGAATGTGGCACTTCAGATAAGTGTAGCCCAGTTTCTGGCAAAGAGCTTAGTATCATAATCTTACAGAGCCATTTAAGGCAATAGAGAGCTCTAATCTTCTGCCTGCCTTAAGTAAAATTCCTTTTTTTCCACAATGCCATTTTTTAAATATATTTCTCAACTCTTCTGCAAAGATAAAATAAGGCTGTGTCTTTTTAAAAGATTAAAAATTCCTCCATTCTCCTTATTCATCTCAGGCCATAAAGTACAGGGCTGGGATAGGGATTAGAAAGAGCACACTCTCTGCAGATTTTTCCTCCTTTGGGTCTCTCTTGATATCTCAAGTAATCCAACTGTGTTTGGTTTTAACAGACACTTAATATACACTTGTTTAATCAATCAATTAATGAGGCAGGATTCCACTTTAATGGAAAACAATAATTGCTACTTTTTAAGAGTTTTTCGTTTCTACTTGGAGTTCAGTACCCCCCCCCAAAAAAAAAAAAATAGGGCCATTCAGGTTCAGAATTAGTCTCTCGGCCAATTCGGCCAATATTTAAGTACTAACCGGATGCCAGACTCTGTGCTAAGCACAGAGCATCCAGTGGTGAACAAGGTGGATGTGGCCCTGACAGCATCCTTGCCCACCCTCTGAACTCGGGCAGCTGGTCATTTTCCAAGATAAAACAACTTTAATTATAATCACACAAAGTTATGTAGACATGTGGACAAAAACTGGAAGGGGCCACAGAAGAATAAATGTGGGTTACCTGTTGAAGTGATGAGACTCTAGGTGAATCATTTATGTTGTTACTTTATTATCTGCATGACAAGCTTTCTAAAAGGATGTCTGTATTAAAAGAAGGCTTGTAGAAATTTACCTAGACTCAAGCCATGAAGTAAAGGACCAACTTACAAAGAACTTTTGGGATGGGGGATAGAGGTCATTGGTTACAGGGCAGGTCCAAGTTTAGTGGGGCCTGAAGTTATATAATTTGTTCTTCCCTCTTAAGGAAAAACATACAAAATTAGGAAGAACCCCATACAAGTGAGGATCCCTTGCTTTAACGTTTTTTAGCTTTAAGGTAAATCATCCACACAGCTCTGGGGACGGGACTTAGAAGACTGAAGGAGGTGTAATGAAGAAAAGTTTCAGCACTCGAATATGTCAAGCTTTGAGTGCCTCTGCTACCTTTAAGAACTGCAACTTTTACTAGATCTGAGCCTTTACTTCTCAAAGAGTCTAATTGGATTTAGCAAAATAGCATGGGATACAAATTCAGTAATGGTTAATATGGGATCACAATAGGACATTTTTCTTTTTTAGAGAGGTTTTACTTGGGAATGGGTTTTGCAGCAGGGGGGTTTCCTTTTAACTTTACAGAAATAATAGAGTTCAAAGATACTGTTTGTCAAATACCTATTCAATGAACCTTAGAGATGAGGAACATTTTAAGGGCTCTTGATGCAGAAAACAAGCCACCAAGAGCAACATTAGAATAAGGTAACATTTATTTATTCATACTTCACTTTGTCCCAGAAGGGACCTATTTTCACTACAGTAAAGTAAAATCAACTGCATAATTGTCTCCTTTTTTAGAGACTAAATTAGAACTTTATGACACTCTTTAAGGAGAGGAAACTATTCAAATAATTATACCTTTTATAATTTTATAGTTCTTTGTAGCTTATATTATAGTTCTTTATTGTAGGTAGATAAAGCATAATTCAATGAGGTAAACGTATTGATGATTGTCCTAGAATTGGAAATGCAAATATAGAGTTATCCTTCCCAGTGCTGCTAGAATTCTCTTAATGTAACATGAACCTGATTATATCCCTCCTCTGTAAAATCCTGCAGTGCCCCAATAGAAAAATGGGCAAGGGCCTTGTAACAGACAGCTCTCAGAGGAACAACTGCAAGTTAACATGAAGATTTAAAAAGTTCAGAGTCGAAATACTGATCTGTGCTAACGAATAAACCTCAAAAACATGAAAGTGAAGGAAGCTACATGCAAAAGACTAACAGTTCCATTTATATGAAATGTCTAGAAAGGGCAAATTTATAGGAACAGAAAGCGAAATAGTAGTTGCCTGTGTCTGGGGGTGGGAGCAGGGACTCACTGTATATGGCCACGTGGAGGAGATTTTCTAGGGTGATAGAAATGTTCTAAAAGTGGATTGTGGTAATAGTTGCACAACTATATAATTACTAAAATCATTGAATTGTACACTTACATTGAATTTTATGAAGTGTAAATTATCCCTTGAAGCAGTTTTTTAAGAAGTTCAACCTCAGTAGAAAAGTAATTTAAAATGCTTTCTACTTGTCGAATACTAAAAGAATAGTAACTATTATTATACACTGACAAAGGTATGGGAATGAACACTCATACACAAGTGGTTGGTGTAAAAGTGTCTGTAAACTTTCTGAAGATAATTTGACAATATGCATCAAAGCCTCAAAATGCTCATATACTTTGACTCACTTCCAGATGTATGTCCTAATTGGAAGGTGTGGATATATAAACACAAAGAGATATTTATCTCTTTACTATTTGTAATGGAAAAATTAGAAACAACCTAAATGTCCAACAATAGGAGATAAATTATAGAATACCCATCAATAGAATACTGTTTAGCTATTTAAAATGATGATGCAGGTGCCTATATGTAATAAGTGTGAAAAAGATATTCATAAATATAAGTAGAGTACAATTATGTATAGAATTTAAAATATTTGTGTATATATATGTATATATTGGAAGTTTATATAACAAATATGAATATTGGGCATCTGGGTATTAGGACTATTGGGTGTTTCTTTTCTCATTTGTTTATCTGTATTTTCTAAAGTTTTTAAATGTGTCATGTTTTATGAAAAAAAGCAATAAAATTTTTTTTTCTTAAAAAAGAAAATATCTTTCACTGACTTCTCATGACTTTAACTATAAGGATCGCTTTTGATATAACAAAATCCTTTGGACCCTCACACAATAGTACTTCTGTTTTTAGTATTTATTGATTTATAAAAATAATGACCAAAAGCTACTATAACTCCTATACCACTTATACATAGCTTTGAATATATTCTTAAAGTATCTACAAACATTTAAACAAGCGCCCCCCACCCCCTGCACACACACACACTCACACACACACCTTTTAGACCTATTTAGTCTACATTATAAACTTTGAAACAATTCTGTGGTCTGCAGGTTGGGAAGGACCAACCTAGAGAATAAAATAGAAATGCTTTAGCTTTTTATTTAGGCTTTTTATTACAATCTTTATACCTTTCGAACCTCACACCAGTTCATACAAAACTACTAATTCTCTCTTATTCCATCTGCTTTTTGTACATGCTGTGCCCTGAGCCTGACGTGCCCTTTTCCTTTTGTACACTTGACAAATGTTTATCTTTCAGGAGGTTGCTTGGAAATCAGCCTTAACTGCCTCCCAAATAGTTTAGGTGCCCCCTTTTCTGTGCTGTCCACTTCACACATGCTTTTAATGTAGCATTTATCACATTGTATTGTAATTACTGGCTGTGTATATTTCACCATCCAGAGGAGGAAGTTCACCTTTGTACCCACTGCCTCTAGCACATTGTCTACAATAGAAGAGGCGCCTGCAATCTTAGTTGAATGAGTGCACAGAGAAAGACCCAGTCCTTGCCCTTAGGGCACTCGTAGTCTAGTTAGGGAGACATGCCTGTCTAATATATGATTAGTCCTATAATAAAAGATGTGAATGAGCACACAGAAGACTTAGTGATTAATTTTGACTTGGTAATTAGGCATTGCTTTCCAGAATAGGGTCCATTTGAATTAAACTTATTTTGACAAGTTGCAGAAAGGAGGAATAAAAGCCTTGAGTCCCTTGTTACACTTTAGAAATTCATTTTGTAGAAAAATGGAAATGACTCACCAGCTACTCCCTGAACTTCCAGCTCTCCAGCTACCCTCAGCCCTAGCTAAGCCTGATTCCCACTGCCCCAGCTTCCCTTTCATCTCATTGTCAAAAATCACTGACAGTAAATTTCCTTTTTAGGATGCTGAGTTGGCACTCTAATCTGGCAAAGAGTTTGCTTACCTGCTCAGATACATGTTTGGGTGGTAAGAAAAAGTGCTATGTGAGGGCATGGGAGAACTGATTTCTAATCCTGGCTTTGCCATAGAATCACTGAATAGACTAGCTTTATGACACGTTCACACTTCTTGGCCTTCAGTTTCTTCTTTGGCACAATGGAGGTAGTTAGAATAATTATACCTCTTTTACCTAATTTATGTAATTATTTAGAAGAATATATAACACTATGTAAAAACACCTTATTAAGCTGTGATACACTGTACAAATGCTCAGTCTGGGGATTATATCATTACATTCCTGAAAACACTTCATGGAATTGGCCAGACTCCTCCTATTGAGGGGCTGTACAGCTTAAGAAGAGAAGCATGGCAGTGGGTTGGGAAAAGAAATCTTTTACAGTCAGGTGAATGGTTTTCAAGTGAGTGTGGGTGATAAAACATCTGGAAATCATGGAAACACAAAACATTGATGCATTTAATTACATCATGCAAATCAGGACTATTTAGTCCTAGTTAGTCCTGGCTTTTCTGGCAAAACCATGATTATGTTATATGTATACAAATAAAAAGTAAAGGAGATATCCTACTCCTCAGCTCTTTCCTCAGTCTAAGCCCAAAGTAGGGTTACTTGAGCCCTTTACTCACTGTGGTAGTCAGGGTTCTCAGAAAAATAGAACCAATAGGAGACAGGTAGATAGATGATAGATAGATAGATAGATAGATGGATAGATGGATGGGTGGATAGGAAGGTATCTTAAAGAATTGATTTACGTGATTGTAGAGGCTGCTAAGTCCAAAATCTGCAGGGCAGGCTGGCAGGCTAGAGACCCAGGAAAGAGCTGATGTTACAGGCAGTCTGCAGGCAGAATTCCCTCTTCCTCAGGGGATGTCAGTCTTTCTCTTAAGGCCTTCAACTGATTGGATGAGGCCCACCCACACTCTGCTTTACTCAGAGTCTATTGATTTCAGTGTTTATCTCATCTTAAAAGGAACTTCAGAGCAACATCCAGCCATGTTTGACCAAATAATCTGATACCACAGCCTAGCCAATATGACACAAAATTAACCATCATACTCACCAACTTTTAAATCACAGCAGCAGGTTGCAAAGAGTTTCCCCCTCCCTTCCTTACCAGTTTTCCAGGAATTTCTTAAGGCTGAATGTCCAATGGCGATGCTGGGTGTGCCATGTTAGGAGATAGCATGTCATATGATAGCAGGTCCAGCAGACAGCAGCTCTGAAACACTGAGAGATGAGGCCCAACTGGGACAGCTGGCAGGGACAAGCCAGTCCTGGGGCCAGGAGTGAGAGGCAGAAAGGGATCCTCTGGTCAGGCCATTGCTCAAGGCCCAGCAGCAAACGGTGCCTTCACAAAGCAGTTCTAATCCTATCCATCGGGCCCAGCACCTCCCAGGTCACAGACTGAGCCCAAAAGGCAGCGTCAGGTTAAGTTTGAATGAGAAACTTAGCCTGATGCTGGTGAAACACTCAGAGGCTGTCTTTAATTACAGTTGACTTTGTTCCCTTTTTTTCACATTTACAGGTTGTTCTAAGGTTTTCTTTAATTGTGTATTATGCAAAGGCCAAGTCTAAATCATCTCCGACAGCCGTGCTGCTCTGAATCCTGATTCGAAATCTTGGTGAAGGTGTATTTTGTTGTTTCTCTAAGTCCTTCTCAAGTAGTTCTCTTGGTTCCTTTGTTTCTGATGACCTTTTGTCTAGTACCTGGAGCATATTAATGCTCTATGGTTAATCAGATTTAGACCGCTGCAGGAATTGTGTTAGTTTATCAAGTTAGCTCAAGGGGATTCTCTGCGGAAAAAAAAGCTAAGGTTTGCAGAGGTTCCAGTAGTTCTCAACCCTGACCGACTTCACTGGGCTCAATACTGTACCAAAAGCAGCCAAACCTATTTCCCCAGCACTACTCAACAGTTTGGAAATTGCCAGTTGTTACTCTCTAAGTGTTTTGGTTACTGCTTTATCCTTAACACCTGTTACTTTGTCACACGGCAGATGGATGCTCAGGAAATACTTGTTGATGGAATGAACAGGATACCTGGTAGAATAATTTGTTGTAACAAATCAAACTACAAACAAAATAGAAGAAAGTATGAGTGAATGCTTCTCTTGGCTGTGTATGGATAAAAACTATCTTAAGTTTACGAGCCATGGAGGAAATCATCTGGAAAAAAAGGTGTAGATTTGATTACATAAAACTGTTAAACTCGGGGCTTCCCTGGTGGCGCAGTGGTTGAGAGTCCGCCTGCCAATGCAGGGGACACGGGTTCGTGCCCCGGTCCGGGAAGATCCCACATGCCGCGGAGCGGCTAGGCCCGTGAGCCATGGCCACTGAGCCTGCGCGTCCAGAGCCTGTGCTCCGCAACGGGGGAGGCCATGGCAGTGAGAGGCCCACGTACCGCAAAAAAAAACAAAAAAAAACCTGTTAAACTCTACAGATCAAAAAAATTATAAGCTACATTTAAAAAGAAATATCAAGCTGAGAAAATATTAGCTACATATATGGCATATCAATGTGAAAGTAAATAAGGGGGAGAAATCTAAGATTCCAGTTCAAAAATGGGAAGAACATAAAAACAGACAATTCACAAAAGAGGAAGTACAAATGACTAACAGTCATAAAATAATAAAAACCATTTTCTAACAACTACTATTAAGAAAAAGAAAAAAAAAATCAGTGCTCATTACTGACTAGGGTACTCTAGTTGGGCACACTCCTTCATATTTGCTCTTGATCATCAAAGCCAGGATTTTAAAACTCAGAGCCAGGCATTGAATCAGTTTCTTTCTCTGCATTTTAGCTGTTTAGACACTACCTTAGGAGCAGTACAAAACAAAAGCCCTGGGACTTCCCTGGTGGTCCAGTGGTCAAGAATCCACCTTCCAATGAAGGGGACTAGGGTTCAATCCCTGGTCGGGGAACTAAGATCCCACATGCCTCAGAGCAAATAAGCCCGCGCGCCACAACTACTGAGCTCTCACGCCTCAATGAGAGAGCCTGTGAGCCGCAAACTACAGAGCCCATGCGCCCTGGAGCCCGCGCGCCACAACTAGAAAAGAGAAAACCCGCGAGCCACGACTAGAGAGAAGCCCACGCACCACAACGAAGAGCCCGCCCGCCGCAACCGAAGATCCCGCATGCCTCAACGAAGATCCCATGTGCCGCAACTAAGACCCAATGCAGCCAAGAAAAACCATTTTTTTAATAAATAAATATCCCAGAGCTGTCTAAAGCTCTAGGCTTAAAAAAAAAAAAAAGCCCTCACTGCTGCTGAAATGATGGGAGAGGGGTAGGAGTACAAAGAATTGAGAACTGTAAGATTAATATTATAGTATTATTCTATTACAAGTAGGTAGGGATCAAATATATTTGATTAATTTGAGGGGTGTGATCTATATGTAGTCCACCAACACTTAATCTCAGTCATTCATACCTTCAATGAAAGAATCATCAGTGACTACAGAAAATTATGAAATCAGTTATATATATATATATATGAATTTTTTTTTTTTTTTTTTTTTTTTTGCGGTACGCGGGCCTCTCACTGTTGTGGCCTCTCCCGCTGCGGAGCACAGGCTCCGGACGCACAGGCTCAGCGGCCATGGCTCATGGGCCCAGCCGCTCCGCGGCATGTGGGATCTTCCCGGACCGGGGCACGAACCCGTGTCCCCTGCACCGGCAGGCGGACTCCCAACAACTGCACCACCAGGGAAGCCTCCAGTTATATTATTGATACTGCTTTTTATTGGGTATTGGTTTCTCAAAGCTCCAGAGAGAATGATGGAATATAGCATCAACTTTGTTATGTATAGCTATGTCAGACAAATAATTTCTTCTTTCAAAATTCTTTCTCTCTTTCAAAAAACTATCAGTTTATTCTAATTAAAATTTAATAGTTTTTATCATTAACACAGGCCTCAAAACTGAGAAAAATTACAAATCATGTGAATTTCAGAATCTTTTTTTTTTTTTTTTTCTTTCTAATCACAAACCACAATGTGAATTTCTACAAGAGCAGGGTGCCATGTCACAAAAGATCAGTCTGGCTTCAGAGTCTGTTCTTATTTTTCCTGTGTGGAGAACAGATGTTTTTTGTTGAATCGGGACCATAATTTGCATCTGGTAGGACAATGGCCCGTATTTTCTTCTCCTGTCCACACGTGGAAGCTACACTGACAACAGCAAGAGCTGCTCAGAGATAGATGCAAAATTTGGCTCAGTCAGTGCAAAATTCAGCCTGATTTTTAAAAGTAAATAATCCAGTTAACATCTAGTGAAGAGCAAACCAGCTAGTGGATTTGGAAGTTTCCTTCAGAATTTCTTGAAATTTTCCTTTGAAATTTCCAGCCCAGAGTATGAAGTAATTCCAGACTCTAATGAGCTTCAGAGGCCTCTCTGCCTGTAAATAAGAACCAAAATAATTGTCTATATTGGTTCCAGGACCTTCTTAGGCAGTAGATAATTTATTGTTTGTTATGCCCTATGTCCTGGTTTTCCCTCAGTGATTGATGTATTCTCTTCTTTTTTCAGATGGATTTTCTAATATTCACCTTTCTTCAAAATGATCCTGAAAGATGAGTCAGAAGTCCCATAACTGCTTTCCATAGGGGGAAGCTGGGGCCCAGAAAGGTTAAGCAAATTCCCTACCAGGGCATCAGAGGAACTCTAGGTTCTCAAGTGGTTATGGAAATCTAGTCAAAATGGAATGAAACTTCTGCTTCCTTAGGTTATCTTTCCTGTTTGTTTAAAATTAGATCCTTTCTATTTTATCAGTTCCTAGGAGATTGTTGTTGACACATGTAAATTTGGAGTCCCCTCTAATTGGAACCAGTTTTCTCCAGGACGCCCCAGTCATTGGTTATGAGACCTCTCCTCCTCATATAAACATAGCCCTCAGGACTTGCCTGGTGGTCCGGTGGGTAAGACTCCAAGCTCCCAATGCAGGGGGCTTGGGTTCGATCCCTGGTTGGGGAACTAGATCTCAGCATGCATGCTGCAACTAAGACCTGGCACAGCCTAAATAAATAAGTAAATAAATATTAAAAAGAAAAGAAACCTAGCCTTTTAAAAATAATAAAAATAAAAAAATACAGCCCTCTTCTGGCCAAGCAGGCCATTGCTGATCAATGTCACCAATATTACCCAGAGGATGTAGAGTGACCCGTTTAATTGCTGGCCCTGGAGTGTATTGTCTATGAAACCCATGTATTCAGGGGTTTTTCACTTAGTAAAGCTGTTTGAACATATTTACTCTCAGAGTTTTATTATTTACTTTTAGATTCCAAGATATTTTGATCATCTGAATTGAGAAAGAAAGATTTAACCTTGAGAAAGGAGAAAAAGTAGAGAGGGAGTTACGGGTTTTGTGAATTTTAGATTTTCCCAGGGAAAAAGTTGAAAAGGGGACAATTCTATTTTTAGGCGCACAAAATTCTTGAGCCATATGATGTACTTCCGTTTTCATAGAGTGAAGTTAGAAGGACTCTAAGAGATTTTTTTTGTCCAACCTCTCCACCTTACAGATGAAGAAATTGAATTCAAGTAAGTTTTGACATGTCTTAGAGCTATTTCCCTGTCACTGTGTATATATTTACCTTATTTTTTTTAAAAAAAGCTGTGTAACATTCTATAAGGATGCATCTTAATTTATTTAGCCGTATTTCTTTGAGGAATATTTTGGTTATTTCCAATTTTTTTCCACTATTATAAACAATGCTGCAGTGAATAACCTTGTACAGGTGTCTTAGTATTTACTTAGTATTGTTACAGGATAGATAACCAGAAACAAAGTAAAAATTTTAATAGGAATAGTCCTCTTAGTTAATTGTACCCATGGCTGCACATCCTTGCCAACACTGGATATTATCAAACTTTTAAGTTGTTTTCTTTTTTTTTTCTTTTTTTTTTCTTATTTTGGTCACGCCCCGAGGCTTGCAGGATCTCAGTTCCCTGACCAGGGATTGAACCCGGGCCATGGTAGTGAAAGCGCTGAATCCTAACCACCGGACGACCAGGGAACTCCCCGAATTTAGGTTTTTAAAATAATTTTGATCTTTTACATTTAGCTCATTGATCTATCTGAAATGTGATTTCCTGTGTTATGTGAGATGGGGGTCTAACTTCCTCATTTTGTCAATATTGAGTATGAGAGGAGGAGCAGAGCACTAGGTGTGGGAAGAGAAAGGAAGGCAGCTAAAGGCAGCCACCAGGTTATACAATCCACTCAACAAAATAAAAGCCCTCAGCTTACCAGACCTGACCCCTGTGGATACCTTAGAAGGCCAGTTAGGGACCACGTAGAAGGGTTGCATCATGTTTGCATTTGGGGGTTTAACTGTACAGGCTTTTAAGCTTCTGAGGGCCCAGATACTAGCAACTTTAGGACATTTTAAGAGACTTTTTTTTTTTTTTTTTTGCGGGGTACACAGGCCTCACTGTTGTGGCCTCTCCTGTTGCGGAGCACAGGCTCCGGATGCGCAGGCTCGGTGTCCGGACGCGCAGGCTCAGTGTCCGGACGCGCAGACTCAGTGTCCGGACGCGCAGGCTCAGCGGCCATGGCTCACGGGCCCAGCTGCTCTGCGGCACGTGGGATCCTCCCGGACCGGGGCACGAACCCGCGTGCCCCGCATTGGCAGACGGACTCCCAACCACTGTGCCACCAGGTAAGCCATTAAGAGACTTTTAAATGTAATTTTGTCTACCATGTCAACAGTAAAACCTGAACTGTCCGTCTATCCTCCACCCAGCCCCCACTCGAGATGTAGCTAGAGCATGCTGCCTTCTGAGGGTTCCATTGCATGCCTCATCCACACACAACCTCCAAGGATCTTATGAAAATGTTCCTTCCAGTAGCATATGTACACACATAGTACATTCCTGAAAGGAGTTTGAAGTTTTTCAGTGATTTTTTTTTGGTACCCCTTATGTATATGTACCCAGCTGCCCTAATCCATAACACACTCTTTCTCTCCATGCTTCAAAATTCTTCTCAACACAGTGCTCTAGCAGCCACCACCAATTGATCAGTGTTGACCCACAGGTGGAATCAGTTTGCCATCTCTAGTCTAGGTCATTGTTAGTAAAAGTCCCGTGGTATTAGTGGAAGATTTTTGTCTTGAGTGTATGCATTTTATCACCATGATGTGCAGCAGTGGTCTCACCCACAGATTCGAGACAAGGGTTATTGGAGGTTGTCTGGCCACCCATGGAAAAATAGGATGTGGCTCTTTGGGGAAGAAGGCCCTTCCTTTTTCCTTTAAGGGCTGAGGTGAGTCATAATTCTTCCTGCTTTATCTATCAAAGGGCAGGGTCTGTGATATGATTTCATATCAGGAGTTCAGAGGTTGCCGAAGTGGGGATAGCAGATTCCTTTGGTGCCCTACCCACGTTCTGTAGCACTCCCTGCTACGATTAAAGCACTTGGCTTCTGTGACTCTTCCTGAAGACTTTTGCTCTGGTTGCAGAAGCTCACGTGGCTTGTGCACAGGGCAAGTGGCAAGTGCTGGGCAATCCATGCCCTCAGGAGCAGCATTCAACCAGTAACAGGTGGGAATTATGGTACAACACTCCAAGGGGTACTCTGCAGTTTCCAAGGAGTCTCCCAGCTGCCCCAGTGGCAATGGGCTTGTGAATGCTTCCTCTCTATGAACTGCCTTTCCCTACCTGTCTCACATCCCCATTCCTCTACCGAGATCCCCTTCCAAATAACCTACTTGCACTCCAATCCTTTTTTCAGAATCTGCCTCTGAGAGAACCCAAACTAAGACAGGAGGGGACATCACCTTTATAGTGGGGGATGACATATCTTTTTGAGCACTGATACTAGCTAACAAAGCATTTTAAGGAGCTATCTATAAGTAATAATGAATTGTAATTCTTCACTCGGTAGAGAGATGCAAAGATTCTTCTGTTTTTGTAGAAACAAGGGAACTATAAAAGATAGGGTAGGGAACCCCTATTGTACCTGACACCATCTAGCTGAAACATTGGGGTGCTGGGCTTGCTAAGAAAATCTCCACAAGAGCCTGTGACCACAGAGAGGTCCAGGCTCAAGCACCAGTAACTGTACCAGAGGTGGCAGTGATAAATAAAATATTACGTTGTGATTTTTCCATTTGAAAAAATTATAAATATATCCTTATTTCAAAATAAAATGTCACTTCAGCATTGCCAAACGTCGTTTGATGGTGTTATCTGAAAAAAAGCACAACCTAGAAGTTGAGAATTATGTTTTATTCAGCAGGCATGCTGAGGATGTAAGCCCAGGAGATGGGCTCTCAGATAGCTCTGAGGGACTGTTCTAAAGAAGTAAGGGAGAAGCCAGGATATATAGAGTTTTTGAAAAACAAACAAAAAAACCAGGTAGTCAAACACCAAAAGATTACTGTCATTTAAAGAAAAAACAGACATCTCAAGTTAATGAATTCAGTGCTTTCCTACTTATGAGAAGATGCAAGAGTCTGGGCTTAATGAAATTATTCCTTTGATATGCATCTTAATATCTAGGGCCAGTATCTTTTTTTGGGTGCGCTGCTGGAAGCAGTTGCAGTGACTGATGGCTTGATGGCTACAACATCCTTTGTTTGCTGATAAGGCAAACACTCTTTGTCCACAGGGCCTCATCTTGGTCATAAATTCAGCCAACATTTGGGAGGCATTTCATGAGCAATTTTGTCCCAAGGCACTAGGAAGTCTTCCTAGACCAGGCAAAAATTCTGGGCCGCTCACTGTGCTGATAATCTAAAATTCTCTGGATCGCCTGACTTACGAGTTTAGCATAATCCAGGAAATGTTTTCCCTTGTTGCTTTTTCTCATACCTAGAATTGCACTATGACAATTATTCTATATAGAGCTACATATATGATCAACTATCCTGAGATATCATTAATTTTGTTGAAGGCCAGGTTACACATTCGTAATGCAGGAGACAACAATCTTATAAAACAGACAGGATATAAGTAATACAACTAGCAACATTAATAAAGTCATAGTGCAACAGAGAGAGCCACAAGGCATAAATAATTTGAAAACAACAAGAGAGAGCACATTAAAACAATGATTAGTAAACTATTTGTAATCTGGTCACAATAAGCCATCAGGTCCACAGGGGAGCCAGGTGGAGAAGCCAAATTCTGGAAGGATCAGTTTGAGAGAAAAAGATAAATATTTCATCTTCTTTACAAAAGTATACTTTATCAGTTTGTTGTAGGTCATAATTAGTGTAAGAGGAAAGGTTTTCTAGAAAACAAAGATTAAAAGCCAGTATATTTTTAAAAAGTCATAAAATTATAAACCATATTTATCAGTTCATTCAGTCCTGTGTAATTAATTCCTGTTGATCTGGATGAAATCATCAGGTTTTCCATTAGAGTTTTTAATTTCTTACCCAGTTCAGTGGTATGATCTAAAAGTTATCAGAAACTTATAATTGTTAAAAAGTCCTTTTTATGAACCTTCTTGAAGATCTTCATTTTATGAAAGCATCAGAGTAAAACAATGATTGTTTATAAACAGCAAAAGAGTTAAAATGGCATGGTTAAATATTTGATTATAATGCAATTGACAAGGAACGTGGATATTTCTGTGACATACAACATTTTAAGATAATAACTAGAATTATGCCTGATAACCTTATACCAGGACATATCAGACTTTTAGGAATGCCATATAAATTTTGGAATATATACATGTTAAAGTCATCTAACCCAAGAAGGTTTTTTTTTTTTTTACATCTTTATTGGATTATAATTGCTTTACAATGTTGTGTTAGTTTCTGCTGTACAACAAAGTGAATCAGCTATATGTATATATATATATCCCCTCCCTCTTGAGCCTCCCTCCCACCCTCCCTATCCCACCCCTCTAGGTGGTCACAAAGCACTGAGCTGATCTCCCTGTCCTATACAGCAGCTTCCCACTAGCTAGCTATTTTACACATGGTAGTGTATATCTGTCAGTGCTACTCTCTCATTCATCCCAGCCTAAGAAGGTTTTATCACCGCTTATTTGACAATGTTTCTCATGTAATTTAACATAAATAAACCTAGTTAATTTAATATCTCCCTTTGGGATGTTTCAGGGGCCCTTTGAAGCATCCCAAAGTTAGCTGGAGGTCAAATGAACTTTATTTAGAATTTGACTAGGGGAAGTTTGTGAAAGATATCAAAAGGTTTTAAAACACTTGGTTAAATAGGATCATAGGTTGCTGTGAAACAATACTTATTTATTCAACCAAAGTGACAATAAAAGATTTTTAAGGCAAATACAGATCATTTAGAAGGCAAATAAATTCACAGTTTGTTATTAAAAGTAACTCAACATTCCAAGAAAACTTCGTTCTCTTAACAGAGAGAGAGAACCAAATTCCAATCCTGCACAGGCCCACCCTCAATAACAAAATTTATTTACCTATTATATTTAACCCAATCCCAGCCTACCATGTACAAAACTCTTCTCTCAGGGTTCCCTTTCTACAAACCTTCCACAACTTTCTGTGTCTGTATTAGTTTATCTCTTATTCTCCTGTTCCATTTAGAGATAACAAGCTGTAGGACAAAATCACCCTTGCCCCTTAAGAAAATGTATTTCCATTTTTCATACCTTCTCTTGTTGAAAACACACATCCTACTTTCCTTGCGTACTGACATGTTTCCCTTATTATTTCTAGTAGCTTTATGTACATATTACAATTTTAACCCTTAAAATCTTTAATCTCTAGTGAAAACTGACAAGCTGCAAGTAATTGTGAACTGTTGGTCATACCAGCATTTCCTGGTTGGCAAATTTAGGAATATTTCATAACCTCTAGAAACATACTTCTTCTGATAGCATAATTTCTTTTCTCAGTGTTGTGCAAGAAATGTGTCTAATAAACCCCAAACATCTTTAGTTTTCCTCTCATAAGAAGACAAAAGCAGACCTGTTAAGCTATTAATGTTCCAGTATTTTATCTTATTCATAATGACCTGGCTATTAAATGAATTCTCTTTATTTAGGTTAATTTAGCAATAAAGTTTCAAGTTACCAAAAACCTGGAGAAACTATTTTAGATAGATATACCAAACCATAATTATTCCTAAAGAGTTCACCTGAAAACTCTTATCTCATTTACCTTTATTTTATAACTTATGAAAATATCATACCAAGTTATCATACCAGCTGCAATGGCTCATGGCTTGACGGCCAAAACATCCTTTGTTTACTGATATGGCGGGCGACATTCTTTGGCTACAATGGAGAGATTGTAACTGTTCTTAGGTTTTGTTTTTTTAATTTAAATAATTGTTTAAATGTTCACGTTTTTATGAAATTATATTGGTAGAAGATACTATGTTTTAAATAATACTCTTATCTGCCAGAAGTAAAAGCTGCCAACCATTTGCCAGTGTCCCTCTTTTATTGGGCAGGGGTTGCGGGGACAGTGTCATGAAATCCTAAA